CCTGTGAACCGCTATCAATTAAAGCTCGAACTTTGTGTAAAATATTATTCGCATCTCGGATACCAACCACAGCCGTTCCCAAAACTACAGTAGATCCCTTGTGGATACTGCATGCAGGGTAAGTCTGCACAGTAGAGCTAAGTGTCGATACTGCAGCCTCTGGCTGGATAGTTGCTTCTTGAGAAGTACGAGTAGTGTTGCCTAAATGAAGTTTTGTATGATGACGGCCATGACAAATTTGACAGCTGCTTTTAGACTGACATTTATTTATAGAATGAGTACGTAAACAATTAAAACACAATTTGTTATCAATGACAAACTTTTTACGATCAGCTGGTGTCATTGAGTTGAATTTGTGACAAGTATAAATACCGTGATCACCTCCGCAGCAGTAACATGTATAAGGGAGTTTGACCATAAATGATTTTGATGAATTTGGTTGAGCGCTATTATGGCTGCTAGAGTAAGAAGTAGATTTGGATCCCATGACAGCTTCCAAAACTTTAAGCTGATTTTCCAAAAATTCAAGTAATTTGTTAAAGGTTGGAATGTCATTAGTTGATTCTCGTTGATGATCCGCCTCAAACTTGCTCCTCAAATCCATAGGAAGCTTACGTAAAATTATGTGCAATAATATAAAACTCCAAGAGTTTGTTTCAAAACCTAATGCATTTAAAGCTTGAATATTTTCCTTAAGTGCATTAACAAGTTTCCGTAAGTTGCTGTTAAGTTGATTTGTATTTATGTTTATGTTTAAAATAGCTTCTAAGTGTTTATCTGCAATTAATCTTTTATTTTGATATCTATCCTTTAATAAATTGTATGCAATATAGTAATTGCCTTCTGAAAGTTCTAAGTGTTTGATAAGATTCAAAGGTTCCCTATCCAGCACTGACAGTAAATAGTGCATCTTTTGTACACTAGGTAGCTCAACATTATCGTGCACTAAACTATCAAACATTGCTATGAAGTTAGGCCATTCAGTATAAACACCAGAAAATCTAGGTAATGTTATTTTGGGTAAAGAAAAATGTGTTGACTTATGTACCGTATTTGTTTGTAATTCATTTGACGTTTGAGGTTCGTTTCGTGGAACTAAATCACTTAATATCTGCACTGAATAATATTTATCATAAAAAGTACCAAACTGCTTTTCCAACTCAGCTTTAAAACTTTCATCTGTTGACATTGCGAATAAAAAGTCGTGAGCGTCCTGGAAATTGTTACGATATACTTCAACGTCACGCAAACGAACCTTAAACGATGCTAATAGTCCAGGGTCTCGTTGAGATTGTGAACTAAGTTGATTTGCTAAATTATATAAAGAATCCATAAACTTCATGTTTGCATTCAATTTCATAGTAGTAATTGCGCATCTTGGTGCATCATCCGACACTACAAGTTTGGATTTTCCTTTCTTATCCGATGCCATTATGTAAATAAATCGATATTCAATAGAATTTAACTAAATTAATTTAAAAATTCAAAGGTTGTTTTGAAATATTTTCAACAGTGACAATGACAAACTTCAAACACGAAAAAAAAATTTAAAAAAGTAATTTATAGCAATGGATTCAAACTGATTTGCTAGTATCGGTTGGATATTGAGATAGTGATGTGACTGAATGAATCAATATTGACATTCAGTCAAAGAGTAAGGCTGAATGATACAAGTAATCACAGATTGTAAAGACAAAATAAAAATATTATGACTTTCAAAATTTTCTACCCACAAAACAAAAGTTATTTGAGAATTTGGAAAAATTTTTACCCACGAATTATGATGATTGGCAAAAATGATAACGCAACTTTTGGAAAGAAAATAGATGATTACTAGGATGATTATCGGGGAGAAGGACCAAAAAGGATTATGTGCGGGACAGAAAGTGATTTGGACTTACGATTTGTTTTCTCCGATAGCCTTTAGAGCAGCGCTGGTCTGCCTGTATTTTCGTAAGTTTCCGGATGTTGTAGGAATGTTATCTTGAGCTAGTCCTAACTGTCCTTCACGTAATCTTGGTGATTTGATGATGTTCCTTTGTGCTCGTTGAACAACCGACGCGCTGACTATATGTTATTTGGATCGGGACTTTTCAAGTCGTCCGGTCGCTGTGGCGTCGTAGTAGTAACAGGCAGCTGACAGATACTACCTGTCTACCCTCGTATTACAATAAAAAATCGTCCAAGGGATAGGAAAAGGTGGGTAAGCGGATGTAATGTTACGTTATACGCATTCAATATATTTGAAACCGAACAATAACCATATTTTAGATTTTTAGTGTATCACCAACCAACCAACTTCATGCTGTTAATATTTTGTGTTACAGTGATGCGCGCGCATCTTAAAATTTCACTCTCATCATTTTTTCATAACGCGCCTAAAGAAGTATAACTTCAAAAATGATTTATTTTATCGATCTTTACAAGATAGATTTGTTGTTATGTTATTTATATAAACAACTTCGACCAGTCTTTGGCTGTATGTTACTACACCCATAGCCATTAAAACTGATTCGTATGTTTTCCAAACCGGTAAAATTAAAAGTCCTTTTTAAAGTAAATATATTATACAAAGGTGTCCGTTGAAATCTAATGACTGTAAATTAAATTATAAATTACGCCAAGAATTACCATGTATGTCAATACTTTTTGTGCATTTAGGCCAATTTGAGCAATCTCCTTTGATTATTTATAGAAAACAAAACATTCATATCATCAATCTACCAATAAATATATGAGGACGAACAAAAATAGATTATATAGTAAAGGAAATAAGAACAAATGTTATTGCTAAATATAAAAATATGTATATCTAGTTGTGTGTGGCATTGACACATAGTAAACAATTTTATTAATTGAAATCTTTTCTAATTAATGATAAATAAGAAAAAAGGAAAGATTGATATGAAATTAATATTTGTTTTTTAAACTTGCAACGGGATTACCTTAACTTAATTCAAAAAACCACTCAGACAGCGACAGTACCCCACTCCCTTACCGAAGTAAAGGGCGAACGATCATCGAGGGCTGATGACGAACCGTCACCGCCCGCCTCACGCTCAGGGCACCGCGCCACATCTCCTCATCGCGGTTGGTGGAACCTCACATGGAGTGAAGGTCTAGCGAAGAGCTTACTATAGAAATGATCCTATGAAGTAAGGTCTTGCGGTGAGAAAACAAACGCGGGGATACCATTGCGCGCGCAACAAACTCAACACCGCCGTTCAGGATTTCGCGTCAACACAGCGCCGCGACATCTAGGTAGCGCGTAGGGAACTACAGCGCAGGTTGGGCGTGCTTGCTAAATGATATAGTAACGCCACCTATGCGAGTGGATAAATCACGCAGGGACATTTTATAACCTCATTTAGAAGTTTTGTGTTCCTCTATATATACAGGGCGTCCCACGGCAACCTCACACGGAGGGAAAGTATATTAAATATTGAAGATAGGATATTTTACTGAAAGAAGACATCATTTTATTTTTAATAATAAATAAAACTGCATTCACAGTTTTTTTTAAATCACCTGTTACAACTGGGAATCAAACTCGTGAAATTTCGAAAAAAAAACACGACATATTTTATGATAACCATCGAAAGGGATAATCCTAAGCATTATTTTTTGTTTATTACATAGCATTATAAATGAGAAAAGTAATTAAATAAAACTAGTTTTTACCGGTTAATGCACGAAACTTTATTTATTTATTGACGTTTCGTAGCCTTTACAGGCTTCGTCGTCAGAAGTTTCGTGTATTAACCCGTAAAAACTAGTTTTATTTAATGAGTGATGTGCGTGAAAACCTAAGAAACAAATATAAAAAAGTAACTAAATTGAACATTTTATTTAAAATTATTTTACAAAAACTAACATTCGGATACGCCTCAAAGTAAGTTCAAATGTTGAGTTGATCATCGTTGGCGTTTATCATCCACTGCTGTGGTTTCTGTAAGCGCATATCAAAACGTCCTAAATTTCAGTATCCACTAACCTTTTAAGCACATATCAAGAAGATACGTCTCCATCAGGATATCTTTTGCGGTACCACCGCAAAGCTAATATGTCTTTGTGGTTCATAAAGTAAGCTTTATATTAAATAATATAGCTTTTCCATTAAATCCATTTTATTTTGATACGCCATGGTAGGTAAAATTACAAAAAAAAATGCAAATAAACGAAAATGAAACTCAAAAAAAAAGAACAGCCGCTTGAAAATGTATGTGTTCCATTTTCGAATTATTATTTTTATAAATTTCAGCCAATCGCATTGTAACTGTGAGTTCAAAAAGAAAGCATACGTATTTCAGTTTGTATAACACTTTATTATTTTTATCACGTAATAAGACATTCCTTTCATTTAAAATACCATGTTATTTAACAAAAAATAATGCTTATGATTAACCCTTTCGATGGTTATCATAAAATGAGTTGTGTTATTTTTTCGAAATTTCACGAGTTTGTTTCCCAGTTGTAACAGGTGATTTTAAAAAATCTGTGAATGCAGTTCTAGTTATTATTAAAAATAAAATGATGTCTTCTTTCAGTAAAATATCCTATCTTCAATATTTAATATACTTTCCCTCCGTGTGAGGTTGCCGTGGGACGCCCTGTATATGTGTGTGTGGGATGCGTGCGCAGCTCTTCCCGACGAGTATGAAAGTTGGAGGGTAACTCGGCGAGGGCTGAAACGCTACACGCGTCACGAGCGTTACACGCGACAATATATATATATATATATATATATATAAATATGAGTGATGCGTGTGTTGCTCCTTGGGCATAGCCGCCTAATGTTAGGTTATTTAAGAAAAGAAGTTTCACTTCAGATATGTGGTCCGCTCACAGATTTTTTTTAATTAGAGGTTTTAACTTGCGCTCTCGTTAACGCTAAATTCAAAGTAACCAGTGCTGAGCGATGCATGGTGAAACCTACGGTACTGCCGCTTGATTAGGTATTATTTTTCTATATGTTTATGTGTAACATCTATGAAATTCACCTCCATATTAAGTAGAAGGGGTATATCCCCAGCCGGGTCGCGATCCACACGATAGTGAATATAGCGAATATGACGTCACACAGCCGCTGGTAGTTTGCGTACTTCGCTGCTTTCGCTGCCTGTAACAATGATTTTATAGATGTGTGTAGATCTAGTAAATAATAATTCTTACAAATCAGTTACACCAATTACTTACAACTATCATAATTGAAAATAGATGTAATTATTTATCTAAATTCTTTCAAAGTAAAAATATCTTTCATATTGAAAGGTAATTCGAAATTGACAAACTTCAATCATGTCAACATTTCACATTTGAATTTCGTTAATAAATTTCCAAATTGAAAGGTATTGTCCAAGTTAAAAAATATGGGGGACGATTATATTTAAAAAAGCGTGAACATAAATCAATAAAAACATACTTTATGTAAAGCACTAAAACCTTCTTTACCAAAACCATGGAAAGGGACAAATCCAAGAATTACTGCATCCGTATTATGTTCGAGACAATTCTTAAAACTTCCCAAAACACGACCCTTCTTGAAGCATGGAAAAAAACAAAGAAGGATTGAAGATCACTTATCACCAGGAATATATAAATAAATAAATATTTCCAACACTCACACCAATTAACCTAGCACCAACGTAAGCACAGTAAGGCTTGTGTTATGGGGATACTAGGGTAACGGATAGAATAAATATACTAAACATATATAAGTATATTTATATAGAAATACATATTAAACATCCACGACTGGAGTACAAATGCTCGTATTTATCAAACAAACATCTGCCCCCACCCGGATTCGAACCCGGGACCTCTCGAGTCGGCGACACCTTGAAATCCGGCGTACAAACCACTCGGCCACGGTGGTCGCCAATATATATCTTTTGTAATCATGCACTAGCAGCACAAGCGATCCGATTCTTGCAGGTTGCAGATCCAGCTGAAAGCATCCTTCTGCTGGCTCTCAGCCAGCAGAAGGATGGTGCTGATGTGTTGCACGAACAACTGTTATGGCCACTGTTGAAGCATGTCCAATAACAAAGAAAGAAGAATTCAAGATCACTTACCACGAGGAATATATCAGTTAAGACATGTAGCAGCAGTACAAGCGACCCGATCCTGTGCAGGTTACAAATCCAGCTAAAAGCCAGCAGGAGAATGATGGCAATGTGGTGCACGAACATTTGTTATGACCCCTGTTGGAATATGGAAAAACAGAAAGAAAAACAAAGAAAAATTACTTCATGTTCACTTACCACCAGGAAAATATCAGCGAAATCATGCACCAGCAGCACAAGCGATCCGATTCTGTGCAGATTGCAGATCCAACTTAAAGCCAGCAGAAGGATGGTGGCGATGTGGTGCACGAACATCTGCCAGAAGTCCTTGCGCCGCACGTCCCAGAAGTGGGACATCGTCGCCGACCAGTAGAACGCTGATGAGATCATGTAGTACCACCAGATGTCTGGTGTGACACCCTACAAATCGATTGAACTATTTAAACTAAAGGGGGTGACACATATAAGAACAATTTTGGGACTCGACGCACACGATGTGCGCGTTATTGTAAATAACATGAACTTTAAGAAAAAGAGAAGACAGATGAATGACGGAGTACAATTGGTACTCCGTCATTCATCTGTCTTCTCGAAAGGTCGAAAGGTTAACCAAAGCGATTAACGATTGGGTCTAATTATTAATTTGAGGATGCAAAATCAATATCGTTTATGTAGTTTAGGCTGATACAAGCACGTTTACGAAAGTCTATAAGCAACGCCATCGGTTCTGAAATCTACGGAAGACCTTGTACAAAGCAAGAGCTGTTTTTATCTCCTGTATTAAGACGTTAAGTAGAAGAATTACTCCAACATTGGATGATTCGTGAAACGATCTAAGAGATGTAGGGATTCGGAATCGCATTTTGCGCACGATTGCAGAGCCCTTTTGGAGAAATAATAAAATAGCTTTGAATATATTTAATTTTAAAATCTTCATTACATGAAATATTTTTAAGTCAAACGAATAATGAAGACCTTGAAATTGAGAAATTATTCGAAAACAAAAATATTATTATATTGCGCAGGACCATGATTATTTACAAAATTATCATAAGCGATAGGGATCAAATTGATAAATAAAAGGCCAATTTAGTCTAGCCGGCGAGCCGCGAATATACTATCATGTAATCTCGTTTCCTTTTCTGGCCGACTACATTAATGTATTTAAAAAAGCTATTTTGTTAATTGAAACCCTTTGTTCATAAATTGCCTTAGTCTACGATGAAATGAAGAAATAACCAAACCTTTCTTTTATGTAAAAGTCTTTCAAATATAATTATACAGTAGCGTTAAGAATTCAGGCGATGTGCTGGCAATACTTGTAATATCAGTATTTTGTTCAGATCAAAAGCAACATATTTTTTCGAATCTGTGTATTTAAAATCAGATACCTTTTAATCGTTAGTCATTACCTATTGTTTTCATAATTTATTTAATTATTAAAGAGCGAGTTACATCATCATGTCAGCTCTATACGAGAGGTTTTGTTTAGGAGGAGCAGACACTACCTTTTGGTGGTTTTGTGTTCGAGGTAGGCGATTGGGTCAGGGTTATTAGAACTTAAGAGAGAAAAACACAGTAGATAAGCTACAAGATATATAATATAAACACACACAAGCCATATGACACGAGTAAGTAATAAAGAGGAGTGGTGTCAAACAGACAGACAGACTGACGTATAAAAATATAAATTTAAAAACACGTCAAAAAGGTGCCAGGGTGTTTATATTAAAAAGTTATAAAAAAGGTTTGGCCGAACAAGGGTAAGCAATGGTGTGTAATATTTTTGGTATCGCGCCTATAGGCTATGGTCGCCGCTTACCATTAGGCGGGCCATACGCATGTTTGCCACTCTTTTAACATGTCGTTCCATTGATAAACTCAGTCTAAAATATAAACATTATTGTCACAGGCGCCACATACCGAAAATAATGAGCTTGGCAATTGAGACCAACGCACCACCACGAATCTCTTCACACATCAATGATTAATTTAATTGGCTCGCCTATTAGACGTCGTTGAATTTCATTGGCATCCTCGTACATTTTAACCGAGCGTAAGTAAGCAAGCGATGTCAATGATAAGTAGTTCGGGAGGACCAATGGATTTTGTTATGTCGTGTGCACAGAATTTGAAAAGGCAGATAGTATGTATGTACAGAGACTTGAAACAATCATCTATAAAAAAGATTTTGACCATATAATAATTGATATTGGTGCCAATTGTGCCAATACTTAAAACTAAATTTAACATCAGTCTCTCCTTTTCATTATGTATAGAGAATGACAAGGATATACTGCTGTCAAAGGAGATTGCTCAAATTGGCCCAAATGCACAAAAAATATTGACATACACGGTAATTCTTGGCGTAATTTATAATTTAATTTACAGTCATTAGATTTCAACGGACACCTTTGTATAACATATTTACTTTAAAAAAGACTTTTAATTTTACCGGTTTGGAAAACATGGGAATCATTTTTAAAGGCTATGGGTGTAGTAACATTCAGCCAAAGACTGATCGAAGTTGTTAATATAACATAAAAACAAATCTATTTTGTAAAGATCGATAAAATAAATCATTTTTTTAATACACTGTGGTATTAATATCCACAACTATATTATCATTTTCACTACATGCAAATGTGCTGAGACAATTATTATAGATGGGTAGGCGATATCACAAAGTCTATTGCCATACATTTTTCTCCAAACACCTCCATAAACAAATTATAATCTGTATATATGTTAGACTTTAAGGTATCTATCTATGGGCCTACGTTGTCTGACTATAAATTAATAAATAAATAAAATTATAACGTTTGATACACTAAAAATCTAAAATATGGTTATATTAAAAACATAACAAAAATAATGAAACTACTGAATATATGGCTACATAACCTAAATCTCTTAGCTTTCTTTGGTTAACGAGAGTTTAAAAATTCTCTCTAATCTGTGGCTCATTCACAATCATCACACAGTTTCTGTCACAGAGTACCTTATTATAACCGGAAATGCATAGATGACACCTGATTTTAAAAGTTACTCTTATACATTAACTTTAAAACCAGGCAACTATCTGTTAATCTACATGCTCTATATACCTGAAACTAATCCATAATTTCGGTATTTGGCTTGATTTCCCTAGTTTAATATATAAGTTATTTGTTTTTTATTATATGAATATGTTCGTTTCTACAGTAATTTATATATAATTTCGAATCTAGGAAACAATTTTTCTTGATTATTGGTCTTTAGGCCAAACATGTATGGAAGCTGAGCAATCTCCTTTAAATTTAGGTTTAGAGAATCATGCTAGAATAGACACCATTGTATGGTCAAAATCTTTTATAGATGAGCAGGGCCGTCCAGAGTTGTACTCGTATTTAAGGTAGGGCTGTAATTACAGGTAGGAGTAAGGCTTGCCAGATGGCCGAGAAATCCGGGATTGTCCCGGAATTTTGCGTCTTGTCCCGTCTCCAATAGTTAAACCCTATTGTCCCGGATTCCGACAATGTGCTAGTTTCGTAACAAAATAAACTAATAACGAATGACACCGCTGACCTGCTTGATGTTTTAATTCTGGGTGGTGATGGGGGCATTAATCTGATGCTTTATTTTTTCAAGTGGAGGGGTGCAAATGTCCCGGAATTGATAAGCCAGTATCTGGCAACCCTAGGTAGGGGGCATAACAGTGCCGCCCGTCGCAATCTGCCACCACGTTTTAAGGTACGGCAATGGTATTTTAGGGTAAGACATTGCCTCATAATACCCTCGCTCTAATTCGACCTTGTAGATGTTCCACTTATGAAATTATCTATAAGCAGATTTTAACATTTCCGGGATTAAAGAAATAAAAAAGAACACAATCACAAATAACCAAATGATGATGATGGATGCCATATTTTTCTGAAATGCGCATCCTAATAAACACATGCTATAGAATATCAGCCAAGGTGCAACTAATTTTTTTTTCTTCTTTTATCAGGTAGATTATCAAAAAGTATTGGACAAGTATTTTTTCTTTTTTCACCTTATATAAACATTGCAGAGATATATTGATTTGAAAAGTCGCATGACGTCACGTTTGAGTACACTTATAAGTGAAAATTCACTCAAAAGTGACGTCACGAGTCCCTACTCCCAAACTTTGACGCGCTATAAAGTTTGTCATTTTTTGGTTGATTGCCCAAAAAAAAAATACGTGTCCATTATTTTTTGATCATCTAACTGACGGGCTAAATAGAATTTCTTTTACTGTACCCCGTCATCACCCCTATTTCGGAGTCTACGTGGCAAACTTGCTGAAAAGCTAAGTAGAGTAAGTAATAAGCACGTACAGACCCGTCTTTCCCAGTGGGCACTTTGGGCAAGTGTCCAGGGCCCCGTGATCGGTAGGTGGGCACCTCAGATCACAAATACAAAGTCCCTAGTTCTTGTTAGATCACCAAACGGGGGTCATCATCATGTCAGCCGTATGACGCCCACTGCTGAGCATAGGCCTCCCCCAAGGATCTCCACACCGATCGCTCCTGCGCCAATCGCATCCATCGACTTCCCGCGACCTTCACAAGATCGTCGGTCCACCTTGTAGGGGGGGCCTGCCCACTGAGCGTCGTCCGGTGCGTAACGGGGGTCATAGGGGCCCCAATATCCTATTAGCCCAGGGCCTCCAATAGGTCAAAGACGGCACTGAGCACGTATAAACACACGTTTTAGTAGGTAATAAGCCGAAAACCACGTCGGCGGTAAATCGAGGTTAGGCTTCGACCTTCTTGTCAATAATACGCTAAACGAGAATTTATGAGGAAACATACCAACTTATTTTTTGTTTACTAACTTCTTCAAGTTTGTGATCTTGCGGATACTTAAAAGTAACACAACATTATCATACTAATATTATAAAGGCGAAAGTTTGGGAGTGTGTATGTTTGTTACTTCTTCACGTCTAAAAGGCTGGAGCGATATCAAAAAATTAGGGTATGGAGTTAGCTTACACCCTGGTTTAACAGATAGTCTACGTTTTTACTGCGGGAAAATATCCCTAATAAACCGCGGGTAACACCGAGGGGCACAGCTAGTGGGCAATATATTTTACTATTACCAACGATCTAGTGTCCGAAGACTTCACACATTTAAGTTTAAACTATTAGAAACTGTCAACAAAATACGTGAACTAACTGGTCAGCACGAAGTTTGACAGTTCCATCGGGTGATTCAATGCGCTTTCATCTGTGACAGACAGAATCGTATCGCATCGTCCAAGTTTATATGGAAATTATCACCATACCTGTGGGGCAATCGGCTAACGGATTTGCTATGGCTATAGCTATCGTTGATGTGATTATTTTTGTTTTTTCTGACCGCTGAAGGTTTTTAAATGCCTCGAACTCTTGTTTGTTGTATTTTTCTTTAGCATTGGTAACAACAATATGAAAACAAAATTAGCGTGTACTATTTGAAATCCTTCGGCCGTCAGAAATAACAAAACGAAATCGTCAGCGATGGCGATAGCCACAGCAATCCCGTTAGGCGATTGGCGCCCTGGAGAACAAACTGGCTCCTTCCATAGAAAATTCGATGATTGCAATATGATTACGGGATCGTCAAAGTTCGTGCTTGGGGCACAGGACTTTAGCAGGACTGTCAAATGTCTAGTTGGGAAAAATAACTTGGCTTGATAAGCCAAACACTCATTGCTTGACATTGAGAGACCGATTTTTACTTACTATAATAATGTCAATACATTTATTACATATATATATAGATTATATAAGGGACTGATTGTACCCATCAACAGGAACAACTTTTATTATGGGACCAATCTGAAATCGCGATAAAAAACAGCTGCTTCATACATTTCGGTCGATTAGCTGATGCACTTTTGTATGAAATAGAAGATTTCTTTTCGCGATTTCAGCGTTGGTCCCATAATAAAAGTTGTTGATGGGTAGAATCACCACCTAAGAGTTTTTTGGTGTTTAAAATTAACCCTTCATAAGTTTCTCTTTTAATTAAAACAGCCGAAAAAGTAAAAATAATATATAATAGATTTAAACATCGGTATAAAATTATAACTAAAAATAATTAGTTCAGAACCGAGAATGCCGAATTGATAACACTACTTTTTAACATAATCTAAAAGATTACACAGCTGATACGGTAGACAGTATACATGAAGCTATTGTAACGAGCGCATGCACGCATGCATACAACGAATACTACAGCTATGAATCGATCGGAATAAACAATGATACTGCAAAGAAATGCAATGATAGCGTCAATAATAATCAAAATTAAAAACGTTTAGATCACTTTAAGCTATTAAGTTTGGACAACCGTAGAAAAGTCGCAGATTTAAAATTTCTTTGTAAATTAGTGAACGGTCATTTAGACTGTCCTTTTCTGTTAGGTATTATAAAATTATCCGCGATTATCTAATTATAAATTATTTATGCCCAAGACATTCAAATCTAATTTAGGTCCCTTTATATCACTGTGTCTTATGCAATCATATTACAATAAAATGTCTAAGGCCTCTAATCTTGACCAATTTAGTGACTATGGTAAAGGACATTGGTCAAATGTATGGACGCTGCACCCACGTTCACCACGGCTTAAACTATATTTATTTGAAAGGTATTATAGTCAAGATCATTTGTGCCAAAGCGCATCAAATTCCATCCCGGGGGTCTTTAGTTATTTTAAGTTAAATATGTACAAGTACTATAACGAACGAACATTAATGAAACAAGAGAATTAATATAGTTAGTTAGTTCGACCCTACATAGGGTGCTCAGGAATTATGGGAGTACTTCACAAGGTGTCAGGGTGCCCCCTTATGTTTATCAGCCGCGCTAGAGTAAATCCAAAAATCCCCGCATGGGTTGTTTTTTTTTAAACATTCTGTTCGTTATAGTAAATTATCTTCTATGTAAAACGGAGCGACCACAGATTACACAAACTTGTCCACGCTTCGGAGATTCATATGATTCCAGTACATCCATACTAATTGACCAAACCGATAATCGTGTTCCAATATCCAAAGCGTGTTAGATAAACATCAATCAAGTAACAACTTTGACAACTGCTTTAATTGCCCTGCTGGGAGCGCACAATCACAACGAAGTAAGACGAGTCGACTATTGCAACTGCAAGTCCTTCAGCATCCGTAAACCGTTTTGAAATGTCTCAGTAAGAGCAAGCGTAGGATGGTCGGCAGGCTTTGTCGTATATCTGGTTGTATAGTACGATATGGCATATTATTATGATTACTAATAATATAAAATGAAGGTACAATAAAATGAATTTATTCAGCTACTTAAATATGGCCATGTGTCATATATCTATTGACTACCAGGATATTTTTTACGGTGTCATAACTTTTGACTCCCAGGATATTTATTTTCGGTGTCATAATAAAAAAGGCTAGGTTTTTATAGATCTATCGATTCATACTTATTATATTGTTGGCGAAGCTGGGTGTGTTTTGCCCATTGTCCTTTGTAAAGATTGTTGCTCCATCTGTCATTAATCAAACATAAAAATTTTGCTCCGCCTTAGCATAATAAGAATTGTATTATAAATTTTGTAGTATCTCCTGATTTCTTACTACACAATTGTTCTGTCGTATTGGATATGTTCAGATGCCTGTTCAGTGTGAGTGAAACAACAACATGTTTGTGAATATTATGCATACTTATTTCTTTTAATATTTTTGTTAAGAATGCACACTCTGTTATTATTGTCACAACTGCATGCAGTGGTAGCCTATAATTAAGATACCACTTGAAATGAAATGAAATGTCATTTATTCAGTCTAGGCTGTTACAAGCACTTGTGAAGGTCAAGAAGCTACGCCATCGGTTCGCAAAACTACGGCGGGAGACCTTGTACTGAGAAGAACCGGCAAGAAACTCAGCAAGGGCTTGAATTATTACTTATACATTATTGTTATACTATACTATGTGAGGATATTCTTGTTGGTTGTCCTTAAATAAATAAATTATCAGCCTATTAATGTCCCCAATGCTGGGGCACAGGCCTTCCCCATGGATAGAATAGGGAGATTGAACCATGACCCAGCACGCGGACCCAGTGCGGATTGGCGGGTGCTAACGACTGCAGGTGCAGCCGGGACCAACGGCTTAACGTGCTTTCCGAAGCACTGAGGAACTCGAGATAGAAGATTGTTTGTCACCCATCCAATGACCGACCACTGCGAAAGTTGCTTAACTTCAACGATCGCAGCCGAACGCGCTAACCACCCGCGCCTTCGAGCTCCTCATATCTATATTAATTTCAATAATCATTTTAGTAATTGAAGTAATTTTTCAACATGTCGACTCTGTAAGTATATAATAAAGGGAGAAAAAAACAGTCCTTGCTGAGTTACTCATCGGTTTTTCTCAGTACAAAGTCTCCCGCCGTAGATTTGCGAACTGATGACGTACCTAGCTTTTCGACATTCACAAGTGCTTGTAAGAGCCTATATTGAATGTTTCAAGGTGTCGCCTTCTCGAGAGGTTCCGGGTTCGAATCCCGTTGGGGGTACATGTTTGTGTGACGAATTTATAACCCAGGTCATTGACCTTTAATATATATTACTAATATAAATATATGTATTCTATGTTACCCTAGTATCCCATAACACAAGCCTACAGTGCTTACTTTGGGGCTAGGCTTATTGGGTATGAGTGTTAGAAATATTTATTTATTATTTATTTACAAGACTTCTTACTACAGTAACGTTATATGTATGTAGTATTGAGTAGTTGGATAAGCACTGTATTCAGAGTTTACTTCCACGAACGGGCGCTCCTATTCGAGTGGAAATAGGATTTTCAAGTGTGCATCTTGCTATTTGCTGAACACTTACAAGCTGCACTGGGGACACAAATACATTATGCAGCATGGATATACAACCTGTACTTGTCCCAGCTTATAGATACCTGTCCCCGTAGTATGAGATGAGCACCACAATATACATCATATCACGATTTTTATCGCGTGTAACTGTCAAGCTCCATAGTATGTAATTTGACAATTGGGCGTGATAAACAAGAGAAATATATCATATCACGGTGTTCATGCTAGGGGGCTGGATGGGGTAAGCTATTGTAAGTTTTTTACAGGGGGAAAACAGAGGGTACAACTTGCTTTCTAAAGCAATTAATACGGGCCTAGATAGATCTAGCCGTCCTATTAGAACACTCGTAACTCTCAGAGCGAGGTCTTGAAATAGTGTTTTCATACAAAACAGCAGAATTTAAAGTGTTCCATAATAACGGGCCCTACAGTTAACACGAATATTTTATTAGTTACACTGTAGTTTATATCACAAACAAACATCAAAGGATAAGAAAAAGAAAACCTAAAAAACGGATTTTCGTTTGAATAAATTAGGTATCCGTAGCTCAAAAGGAAAAAACGGAACCCTTATGGGATCACTTTGTTGTCCGTCCGTAAGTCCGTCTGTCTAGACCGTTTTTCTCAGGAAAGCGTCGAGGTATCAAACTGAAATTCATATCTAATACTCAAGTCTTCTGTCCCTTGAAGCTGTGAAAAAATCAAACTTCTAAGCCAAAGCAATCAAAAGATGCAGCCGTTAATGCCGCAAATTTTCGAAACTAAAACGGGAATCAAAACCTACAGGGTACTTCCCGTGAACTTAGAATCTTGAAATTTGGTACGAAGTCGCTCGAGACCCGAGGCCTCGGTGCGCGAGTCCGACTTGCACTTGGCCGGTTTTTTTTCAGTGGTGTCAGGAGAAGAAACTCATTTGTCCAAGGTTTTGATATTACTGTTTGGCATCGTCTCAGCCTCTAGGTTGACTAAAATTCTTATTTAAATATTTTTATAAACAGACACCAATTAGCCTAGCCTTAAAGAAAGCACTGTAAGGCTTGTGTTATGGGATACAGGGTAACAGATATAATACATATACTGATGCATAAAATAATTAAGCATATATTTTTATTTAGAAATACATATAAACACCCATGACTTAGGTTCAAATGCTTGTTTTCATCACACTTAACACTAATCGGCCCACCGGGATTCGAACCAGAGACCTCTGAATAAGTGACACCTTGAAATGAAAACCGGCATAAATACCACTCGAGCCACGTAGCTCGTCAAGATTTATCAGCTAGGTCTTCTATACTAACAGAAAAATCAAAATCTGTAATCACTTACCTGATGAGGGTAGCCGATATAGCACTGGTCGATGTCCCACAGACAGTCCTTGTCCCACAGCACGAACAGGCCGTACGAGAAGTTGAACATGTAGAAGGTGAACAGCCACAGGTTCTCGCAGAACTTCACCAGGTTGGACGGCTTGTCCTGGCTGCGCCGGAGACGCCACCATCGCTCCACCTGCCGCTCGGTCAGGTCCACCTGCTTTGACAGCGATATTATCTGAAAACCAAATCGAACTTGAGTATCAGACAATGTCACTTACTCTGATACCAAGGTAAGCCCTGAGGCCCAACCATGAATTTTAACAGCTTCAGTAATCGTATCGCATCTTCAAAGTATCTATGAAAACTAAGCAGCAGTGCCCCAGATCAAGCGGCATGAGAAAGAGTGTGTGTGGAGAGAGAGCGAGGGGGGATATTTTATTGACCAAATTACAAAACAAACAGAAAAAGAATGATACATAATAAAAGAAAAAAAATGAATCATCTTAAATGGTCCATCAGCCTAGCATAATGCTGCCGCAATACGTCACCAAACATGTCACAGCAGCGCTGGTGATGACCGTGAGTGGCCACCGTTATGGTATGAAAACAACTGAACAATGCGATGTGCTGTGCTCTTGTCTGTTGAAGAATACCATGTGAGCACCACACCAAGATCGGTCCTCTGTTACAACGGTTAAAATCAACATTCAATGACCGTCAAGTTCGAGGTTTCGTGTCCTATTTTATGGTATCAAACTAGTTAAACTAACATTAGCCATTAGGCCTTCCCCCATAGGCGCGTTTTTATCGGTCGATAATATTAAATGCCTTATTGCGATATGACGGAGAATTTACACACTTCAATTCATTTTTTATTTATTCAATTTAGGCTTTTACAAGCACATGTGAAAGTCGAAAGCTACGCTATCGGTTCGCAAATCTACAGCGGGAGACCTTGAACTGAGAAGAACCGGCAAAGACTCAGCAAGGGCTGCTTTTTTCTCCCTGTAGTATTTCATTTCACTGATGTGAACAACGACGCAATGGAAGTAGGGCTCATTATCGCAATAATGCATCCGATATTCACACCTATGCTTTTAGAGTAGGATGGATAACTATGATGATCATGATATAAATCCAAAAAAAATCCAAATCCAAAGTCAACATTGAGAATACCACTGCCACCCTAGCATGAGCACTGCGATATGTTGTATAATGTCAAATTACTATGTAGTTTGACAGTTAGACGCGATAAAAAACGTCATATAATGTAAATTGTAGTGTTCATGCTACATACGAGTACTACGTATTGTAAAATTGACAGAACAAACAAACAGAAGCACGTGTGCAATTAAATTTTGAAAACCAAACTATACCTAGCTACGTCGTGACTGTACTGTACAATAAGGAATACGTGATTGAAATGAACAAAAACTGAGACTACTTATAGTGCATTTGGATATTTTAGTACTTATACATTTAGCGACACGCCCCGAGTACAATTTATTACAATTTCAGTCCAAAAACACCATCCCTGTATCCAAATTTCCTGATGGGTTTAAATTGGTTAATCTGTTCTCGTGTGATGTTCCGTCACACATGTCATTCGATTTACCTACATATTTAAAGATTATGTTAATTACGTTTATTACAGACATATACATTTAATTTCATTGCTGATTTATTACAGTTTATTTTAGATAAGAATACTTTAGAATTAAGAGATATGGCGCTCAGCAAGATCATACCTCGAATTTCCAAATAGGATACATTTATCTCAACAAAAGAAAGTCAACAACAAAAAAACAACTTCCATTCCCGTCATTTCAAAAAATAATAATGTAACAACAGCATGTGATAAATATTATCGGCTACTCTTCAGCTACAGCTATGCCTCATTTGACCAACCGATTTCTTCACGCACGCTAATAGACACCTCACGCATTCTGCAACCTCTCTCGCTCGAGAATGAACGCTATTCGTATGCGAGAGAAAGGGATAGACTGATGTGAAAATGCAGAAGGATGTGCGGAAGTATAAATATGATAACTGGCTACAAAAATACAATTACTGACAAATGTATCGTTTGTTGTGGAGTCACGATCACTGACATGTGCACGTTATCAACGATGTATCATAATTCATAATCTTAGATTATGGAATAGTAAATATGTAGTCTATCTTTAAGGCCAGATAAATGTTGTCATGCGCACTATTATGACGTGTCGATGAAAACGGACTTAACACTGTTTTCGAAAAAATATAACTTGTCGTATCCTGTCTGGGGCAAAGTTTGATTTAAAAGAATCGATACAATACCAACGACGGCAACAACAGACAATGATTGTGTGCAAATTTTCGTGACACATCTCGCCACCCTTCAAGTCAACTAACCACAAGTTAAAAGACCTCAATTTGTATAGAAAGGACACCATGCATAGTGAAGCACCTTAATAAGATCAAAGGCATCCGGTACGCAATCACGAGACAGGTATCTTCGTTAGGCCGCACTTGGGTTGCCTCTTGCGTTGCGGTCTATAAATAGGTCAAACCGATTATTTGGCGCATAAGGGCATTCTACACGCTCGCCTTGCTTCCTGAACTCATCCTACTTTACTCTCATTTCAAACAGTTTTCTGTCTATATATATTCTTCAAATTTTAAATGAAACTTTGAAGATATTGGCAGTAACTTTAGGGAATCTTGAAATTGAAGAGACTAGTTCGCACGATGAGAGTCATATTTGAGCACTCTTTACCTTCATCATCATCAGCCTTTTAATTTCCTCACTACTGGGAAACAGGCCTCATCTATGAATGGTATAGAGATATTGATCCATGCATGTTCCACTTTGCAGACCAAAAGCGCTAACAACCTGCGCCATCGAGATTCTCCAATTTACCTTACTTAGAACATTTTTATTACCGATTTGTCTCTAGAAACGTGAAAAATAAAAAATAAAGGATTGGTACTAACCACTACCTAGCGGGTGATGTCAGGTCACGGATATAACCTTGGAAGTTGCAAAAAGTAAGTCTTCTTCTTCTTTTCATGTCGAGGTTCCGTTTATAAAGATGCTGCTGCCCAGTAAGCAGCGATGTCAATAGCATTGGCTGTTGCGTCTCTGAAATCACGGTCTGAACAAGAGAACGGGTATGCGGGGCATGCCAGCAGGTGGGCCATAGTTTGTGGGGCGGTCATGCAAACTCATTGAGTGGTGTTGTTGCGCAGCAGTCCCAATCTGACCATTTTGTCTCTGCAGCGACCGACCTGTGACCTAAGCCTGTTTAGCGCCATCCATGTAGGTCATAGTCCTTTGTGGCCGGGGGTAATCTTTCAGTGCAGCCAGGGCGAGGTCATCTGCGTAGATGATTGTGTTCCTAATGGGTAAGCCTGGTCGTTTGTATATACATTGAAGAGAATCGGTGCCAGAACCCTGCCCTGCGGAAGGCCATTCTTTTGGCAGCGCCAGCGGCTTTTCTGCATGTGTAGTTGGACTTGAAAACAGCGATTACGAAGTAACTCGCTCAGGATTCGGACGAAGCCCATATCTTTTGTAATGTTGGCAGTTTTGATCAGCAGAGACTTTAACTGTGTCGTATGCCGCAGATAAATCAATAAACACAACTCCAGTGACTATGCCGAGTTCGTATCCATCCTCGATGTACTGAGTAAGTTTGATCACCTGACCTATGCAGGATTTTCCGGGTCTTCTCAATCCCGTATCCCGATGAGCTTTGGAACCTTACTCACCAACAAAACACAACAACACCAAAAGGTAGTGTTTTTACTAGCTGTGATCTTAAGGTGGAGGTCGAACGGGCGCTCCAATTCGAGCGGGAAATCCGCTATACCCTACCTTTCTTAATTAGGTAAGCTTGTAGACTCTTGAAACTGACCTGAAACCCTGAATTTGTTTGCTCGCGCGGGTTAAACAAACATTGTGTACAATTACCTTTAAACGTAGTTGCATTTCACTCGGAATGTTGCAAAGCACACGTAATTTACGGGGTGATTATTAGTGCTAGTGACCCCATTCATTACCCGAGAAACGTGGAATAAACACAGGCGGCGTGTTATGGAAACTACAAATGGGGCGAACGATGGGGCCTATTCTAACATCGATTTTTTGGTATTTTTTTAATTAAAAGCTTTTATTTAACTTGCAATGTATCTATGTATGTAAGTATATACATGTTTGTTCGGGTGGAAACTTACAGCTCAATTTTGAAGTAGATATATTCATTCGATTAAGCTGAAATTTTGTAAACACGTTTAGTTTGGATGACAATGCATGGTCAGCTATGTGACGTCATTGTAAATCCAATATGGCGAAACATACCAAATGGCAGGCTTGTTATTCTTGACGCACTCCTACAACATGGGTATCAAATGAAAAGGCTTGCTGAGAATATCTCAAAAAAAAAAGAGTCGCCACATTAAATTCAATATGGCGGACTTAAAAAAATAGCGGACTAAGCTTTTTTATGCCCACACTTCAGACGTTAATTGGCAACTCAATGAACACACGCGTTGTTTTAAATTCGTAGTGATTTGTGTTCAGAGCCACATTCAAAACAGCTACGCCGAAACTCAACTCTATTGCCAACTAAATATATTGGTGTAAGTTGGTCTGCTCCAATTGTTAGTAAATAAAGTTCTTTATTCCATGTTCGCCAGTGGAGTGACCATTTAACGCCTGTTAATGATAAATATTACAGCGCCGGCGCTTACGCAATCTCGAGAAATTCACACTGAATCCAGACATGAAAATGGAATGGAATATGGACTGGTTATTTTTAAGTGCTGTTTTATTGGGACTTTTTCGTTAGTTCCTGAGGCAATTGACAAATCAAAGATAACGGTACCTAATTTTTTAATGCTAAGTTGGCAAACAGGTAATCGTTCCACCTGTTGATAAACGGCACGCCTGATGATAAGCGGCTCGCCTGATGATAATCGGTCACCAAACCATGGCCTCTTGTAGGATTTTTTTATTGACAATAGGCTAGTTGACACTTTTTGGAAATATATTTTAAATGGTTAATAAAATTGTTCTATTAGACCGAAAAAATGTTCTGTATTTATTTTTTGACCGCGAAAGCAACAAAGCCTTTTAAAAAATAGATTTTACATGGACATACAAAAACGCTGTCGGCCATTTTAGTCTGTCGATTTATATGAAACCATGATTTCTAATCGATGACATGAAAAATATAGTAATTATCATGATTG